ATACGTTTCTCACGAACTTTAACAAAAAATATTTTTAAGAAAACATAACCATTTTGCTTTTAGAAGATAATGACCTTGCCTTCCACACTTCCTACCAGAAGCATTTCAAGCCTTTCAGAAAGCTTATCACTTTTGATGCCCATGACTTCAAACCATTTTTCCTGCTGGGCATGAATCCTGTAATTCTTGCTAACTCAAGAGGCTGAGATTGGAGGATCATGATTCAAAGCCAGCTCAGGCAGAAAAATGTCCAAGAATTGTGTCTCTAAATAATGAGAAATTAAAAAAAAAAACAGAAGTAGAGGTGTGGCTAAAGTGACAGAACATTAGTCTTGAGTAAAAAAACAAGTAAGATTGCAAGGCCTCTCTTCAAGCCCTAGTATTGATTTGCATGTGCGTGTGTGCACACACTTACACACACACACATATACTCCTTTCCTGCCTGGTTGGTGGTGACTCATTGAACAGCACCACAGATCTTGAGGACTCATGAAAGCAGAAGTTTGAAGTTCCTTTAATATGTAACTATTTGGAATAATGTACAGTAAAGAGATTTTATTTAAAAAAATTCAACTCAGGCACCAAAAGCCTTCTTTTTACTCTGAAGTGGCTTCTTTTACTCTGAAGAGGTTTATGGAGACAGCCACCTGGTCAGTGACTAGCATGGCTGACAGACAGCAGCAGACTAACTCTCAGCTTGCTTAACCTGGTGGCTGCCAGCAGGAAACACAGCTCCTGGGGATGTAAATCCCCCTTTAAATGGGATCATTTATTTCTGACATTTCAGAGCTGACTCTTGTTGCTAGAATGTAAGCTGTGTGGTAATTCCCAGCTGTCCCACAGTGAAAGCAGTCAGCCCTGTCTAGAGGAGTTGAATGACCCTGTGCTTAGGTTAGGAAATGATCTGGAACTTGGATTGGTTTCACTAGGGTTTGTGAGGATTGCTTCTTGCGAAGATTATGTGAAGAGAGCTCATGTGAGATGAGACAGTTGACACTTGTTATCATGAGCAAGCGTACTAGATATATTTTGAAGTATAAAAGTTAACAGGGTGTTGGTGGCTCACACTCATAATTGCTGAGATCTCAGGATCATGGTTCAAAGTCAGCATGGGCAGGAAAAGTCTGTGAGACTCTGATCTCCAATTAACTGACCCCACCCTCGAAGCCAGAAGTGGAATTGTGGGCTTAAGTGGTAGAGCACTAGCCTTGAGCACAAAGCCCAGGCACTGAGTTCAAGCTCCAGAACCAGTGTTTTATATGTGTGTGTGTGTGTGTGTATATATACATAGATATACACATATATGTACATATATATGTATGTATGTACATATATATATACCTATACACACACACAGATATATAAAAGAAAGGCTAACCAGTTCTAAGATAACCACCCAAATGTGCGTTACAGAACACAGTCCTAAAAATCTAATCTAAATTCAGAGACTGTCTCTCAAAGTCAATGATGTTTATTATTGAAATATTAGAAATAAAATAGCCAATGTCCTAAGATTAAAAGTGGCATAGCTCAGACTCCCACGTTGACTGACCCTGATTTGATGTGCCCTAGAACCGAACACTGTTCTGATATTCAATGGCAGAACACTGTTCTGATATTCACAGATCACCTTTATCTTCTAGAATCTTCTGTGTTGTCCCACCTCCTGACAGCACAACACTCTGCCAGGAAGAGAGGATTGAGACATTATTAATGTGTACAAAAACAAAAAGAAAAGACAATTTTGCCTAAGGTCCTGCGGTAAGTCAGTGAGTGTGATTGTCATGCCGGGCCCATCCCAGTGTCTAACAAGCGCAGTGTGCTCCTCGTAGTGCTGTGCATGGGGCACCTGAGGTGACGTAGGTATCAGCACGTTAAGGCTGACGCCACAGGGGCCTTAGCTACGAGTCAGACTAATAAACAACAAGGGGAGGGGCAAGGTGCTAAAAAATTCAACATAAACTGCCTACCAGGCTCCACAAGCAACCCAACAACCAAACCCATAACCTCATCACTACATTCCAGTCAGATAGAGCTGGTACTCTGTCCAGTGAGAAGACATTTCTGTCTCTGGTTCAAATCCTCCTGCCTGCCACACCTATCCTATTGCCATCTAAAAAGTGATTTATAGCTCCTTGGAGGGGTGAAAAGAGGAACAGAAACTTTTCTTACTCCAGGGAGTTGGTGAACACCTCCATCTCACTTCCTGTATCCCTCAGACAAAGAGAAGGGGGGCAGGGAGAGACATCTGTTGTGGATGTTGCGTGGAGAATTTTTCCCCTTTCCTCTATCGAGTGGGACTCTATGGTCCTTCTGCTACTAACTTCTGGTCAAACTAAACTGTAGCTGCTGTACCTTCATGCCAACCACATTTCTTAAACACTCCTGGGATTTCCAAACAGGCCCTGGATGACGAGAACACAGTCATGTTAGTTGTGTCTTTGGTCATCAACTCCAAATAGTGGCTTGGCTAAGAATGCCACCTGTCCATCAGGAAATGCATTTAAAACTATTCTCATTCCTACAAACCACAAACCCCTGAGCAACTGGAAATGCCCCTGGCTCATTATCATCCCAGGATGCTTTGGAACCCATGATCTCAAATTGGCTACTATATGTGTGTTCTATGTCTGTCCTTTAACTGATGCCAAGCTTAAATGCTATATTAGGAATGCAAAATTACCCAGGTACTGGTGGCCCATGCTTGTAATCCTAGCTACTTAGGAGGCTGAGATCTGAGGATCACAGTTTGAAACCAGCTTGAGCAGGAAAGTCTGTGAGACTCTTATCACCAATCAACCTCTAAAAAGCTGGAAGTGGAGCTGTGGTTCAAAGTGGTAGGGGATTAGCCTTGAGCACAAAAGCTCAAGGACAGTCTCCAGGCCCTCAGTTCAAGACCCAGGACCAGCATACACACACACACACACACACACACACACACACACACATACACGATGCAAAATTATAAAATGGTCTTTCCTGCTTCCATCTAAGTTAAATTTTTTGATTATTCTATTAGTAAACAATGCAAGCACAGTACCTATCAGTCTTCCTTTGCAGGAAACAGGGTGACTTAATGATATGCTGAACTTCTCTTGTCGTGCATTAATTTTCTCAATTAATATCCCCAAAAGGCAACTACAGGACTAAACTACTAACTATGATTGTATTAACACCAAACTCAATGGGTGTTCAGACAGCAAAAAAGCAAAATACCATTCAGTCCCATTGGCCTTTTGTTGACTGAATTCTCCTTTTATGTGTTATCTTTTAGAAATGTGTAAGTCTGGTAGTTTTGCAATATATGAAGAATTGGATTCTCCTTCCCCGCCCCCCTAAAAAAAGGAAACTGAGGAATGAGAGAAATAGCTTAGGATAGAGTTGTTCTTCTAACAAGAGTTCTTTTAACAAAAATTTTTACAATGGAACAGATAAAGAAGAAAGTAATATTTTAATAGGATAGTGAAAAACATAGCAGATTGACAGTGACAGCAGGAAAAGAGCGGGAATACAGGTATTCGCAGAGGATTAAAGTGGCACCTAACTAGGCAAGTGTTTTTCTAGAGGTCTCTATACATACCTACTGCCTAGAGTAGGTAGCTTTACTTGGAGCCATCATCAGCGCTTTGAGGTTGTCGCAATTAATTCATGTTGAATACTTTCCATGGACGGTCACACTCACTCAGACTTAAAATAGATATGAGAAAGGTCTTCAGGTTTACTTTCAGTAACATTATTCACTTCCTAGCCAGCTGAGTGACGACATGGCGTGTGACCCATCCAAATTCACAAGGTAACCTTGCCTGAATTATCCTGGTCCATCGAATAGAAACACTAGAAGTAAAGGTGCAAGAATAGAATTGCAAGGAACAGCAGGAGAAGCACTCATCAGGAGCCAAAGCAAACACACGGGAAGAAAGTCTGTGAGCTCACTCCAACATGGTGGTAACTGGTTCTGTATCTTCACCCTATGCCATTTGTGCACTTTGACTCAGTTCCTTGCACTTCACTTTTATGTTCTGCTGTCAGGACCCCTTTCATCCATCCCAGCCATGCAATTTCCCAAAGCAAAAGGATAACTGAGTTTGCCTCTCTGAGCACCGCTCCCCCTTTTGATGTTACTTTCTTATGCTGTACCCTACCACTTGCCTCAGCTGCAGAAATCAAACCTTTGCTTTCATTGGCAATTGGAGATGTAAGCACCTATTTCCTGAAGTAACTGGCAAGGGAGAATGAAAAACCCATCTCTAAGGATAATTACCTCTCTTGCCCTAATCTATTTACCTTAAGTGGCTTCTGAAATGAATCAATGTATGTAAGAGCATCGGACAAGAAGTTAAATACATAGTAAGTGCTCAGTAATTATCAAGATCCTCTTTTCATACTAAACTCTATACATTCCCACAGTCCTTAAAATACCTTCTCTATAGTATCAAATAGGCGCCTGAGGTTGAAAGACCCCCATCCTCAATACGTTTCTAATTCTGTGAATACTAGTAATAAAGATAAAGCATGACTTAAAGGAAATCTAAAAAAAAAAAAAGGAATCTCAGTCAGTCCGTCACTACATGTTATATTTGCAGTACCTTTGAACCTTTTCACCCTGGGACTGCAGCTGTTACATTACTACATAAAGGCTGTGTCCTAACAGTTGCTAGCAGTCATCACTGTCTTTCCTGAGGCGAAAGCAAAAATCCTAAACCTCTGGCTTCCTTCATATAATGGTGCGGACCTATGTGGAGAGATGCCCCCAGGTATGTGCAAACTAGAGAAATGTGTTCAAATCAATCTGAGTTGCATTTTTTCTTTGACTCTAAAAAATAGACTTCTTGGACCCAGATTGGGTGGTGGCCTGTCTGAAATGAAGCTGAGGGATTGCTAGGCACTGAGGGTCAGGAGTGGAGGGCGGGGACTGAAGGGACACTGCAAACGATTCCTTTCAAAGCAAAGCGCGACACCGGGTGTGGCGATTACTCCTCCACCACCGACGGTTTCCACACCTGAACTGTGACACCACTTTTCTTGGCTGAAAACTTGGGCCTCGGCGCCACGAAATAAGAGGAAGAGGCGGCTTCTTGCTTGGGAGAGGTGGGCAGGCCCGGAGGCCCCGGGGAGGCGCTGGCGGGCGAGGCGGCCTCCGCGAAGCCGGCGGGCGAGGCGGTGTAGGCCGGGACCGAGTACACCGACGAGGCCTGCGCGTTCGTGGGGGAGCCCACGCTCACGGGCCGGGGAGGAAGCGCTTGTCTCATGGCTGGGGCGGCACTGACCTTCACCGGTGACCTCTGGGGAAGGCTCTCTTTGGCATCTGGAGGTTGGAAAGTAAACAAGGACGCATTGAGCTGGTACGGCTGGTGTTTCATGACATCAAGAGTATTGAGGGGTTTCTTGCCCTTCTTCTTGCTCATTTTGGAGGCCTGTGCAGCCGAGGACTGAGACTTGATGGCAGCCAGCGGGTAGGAAGGAGAGTGGATCGGGTTGTAGGCCACCGGCGGGGGCGCCCGCACATTGGAGGAGTATTTCCAGCTGGCTGGGAGGGACGGCGTGGGAGACTGCGCACGCGCCGCGTGGGCCTGCACCGTGTCGGAATCCACCACGTACTTCTCCATGCGCGACTGCCTCTTGGCGAAGAGCTGGGCGCCTTTCCCGCTCATTCCGGGCAGCTCATTGGGTGGCCCCGCGGGGGGCGTCGCCGCGAGCTTGGGTGTGTAATTCTGATTGGCTACTGCGGCTGGCGGGCCTTTAAAGGGACCGGACAGGTTCAGGGCGCTGGCGGGCCGCACGGGAGCGTAAGGTTGGGCGATTTTGATGGCGGAGGCCACTGGGCCTGGCGATGGGTTGGACGTGGGAAAGGCAGGAGGAGGTTGGGTCGGAGCCACGGGTCCTGGAGACCAGACTGGAGACATGGGGGTGGCCGGCTGGGAGGCTGGGGGGGACTTGACGGCGGGCTTGGGGGCCACGGGCGGGGGCGTCTTCTGCTTGGCGGAGGCGCCCTGCATGAAGTTGCAGGCCTCGGCGCCCAGGCTGAGGTAGTCCTCCTCGGGCCCGGAGTCGCCCCCGGCCCCGCCGCCCCGTTTGCCCTCGGAATTCTGCAGCAGTGACAAGAGTTCCGGGTTGGGACTGACTTTGGGCTCCTTGAAGGTGAACATGGGCTTCGTGGTGCTCCTCCTCTTGGCCTCCTGCAGGATGCCCGTCCTTTTGGCGGGCACGGCGATCCTCTCATCCCGGGAGGCGATTCGCTCCGACGAGTCGTAAAAGGCGGGTTGGGCCCAGGGTCCCGGCTGGGGCCACGGCGGGGGCTGCGGCGGGCCGGCCACGGGGCTCGAGACGCCCCCGGAG